GATGCGAGGCACCACCCCTCCCCCCAATTCACCCTGGATAGACACTGCACAAAGATAGACCACAACACCGGGCACTACGTGCCCTACTCTTTTCGAGGAGTGTGTGGGTTCTTTAACGTCCCACAAATTTTAATCACATATAAGGGCTTGTGAGACGGGACCTCCATTTATCGTCCCTATCCGAGAAGACTAGAAAGTCTAACCGTTTGCAGAAATTATTACAAAGGCAGCACTTTCTACTCAGTTATTTAAAGACCCTGAGTGTTGGTCCGGCCGGATTTGAACTTCCGACCCCCCGCACAACAGTCCAGCGCTATACCAATTGAGCTAACCGGGAGGCTAAATTCTATGGAAGGAAATTTGCGAGGTGTGAAAATTGCATTTTTTTCTAGATTTTCTGAAATTCCGCTCCGTCTAATTTTTTTAAAATCTTTGTTCATTTTCCTTTTCAAGTGCCAAATGCAATCATTGAAAAAAAAAACACGGGGTCACTGGGTTAGTTTTCGAATTATTTAAGCCACAAGCTAAAAAATGCGTCTGAATAAGCCTATGATAGCGTTGCCATGGAAACTGCTAGTGACGAAATGACACCTATTTTTGATTAAGCAATGATTATATAATTCAACCCTGTAAAAGTGTTCAACTGGCCTTTGTCAGTCTTTTTGTTGCATTCGTTCAAAGTTACAAACCATCAAAAAAATGAAAACTGGTACCAGCCACCTTAATTCGTTGAATTCGATTCGGCTCGACTGAAGTACGGCGTCTGAACCGGGCCTTAAAAATCTCTTAACAGCAACGGAATTCGGTTTCCCTAAGAGGTCCGTATACGAATTCGCGCGCAAATTTTTTTTTCTATATTCGAAGTCGTTTTCATCGGTAAAACTTCTCTGTACGCTGTTGGTCATTCTGTTCATTCAGAAGGTAAGATCGAGTTTATCTTTCACGTGCACGTCTCAAAATAGAGAATTCGTTGGATGGATTTTCTTTAAACAAGTGTGGGGGAATTGGCATATTCCACGGCAAGGACTTAGGCCTTCCTTTCTGTTGCTTTATCGTCTCTTGGTTTAACGTCAGAGGCCGGTTTCAGTAATGAAGGTTTTCTTTGACGAAATATTCATAGATAAGAGGAGGACGTAATAAAATGAAACACGACTAATTAAACTTTTAAGAGGAATATTTTTAATAAGGCACTCCAAAATTCACAAAATAAAGATGAATATGACCATATTTTTCAACAAATACCAATTTCGGTCAATGAAATCAATCAATCAGTTGATGATTACATAAATACAGATCTGTAAATCTATATAAGCTCTATCCTTTACTTTAGTAATAAAAGAGGTTTTGCACAGCAGCCATGTTGGATGGCAGGAACAATGAAAATATTTTGCATAAAAAAGAAAAATATTTCCCATGGGTAAAATAATCTATCGTTCCTGCCATGCAACATGGCTGCTGTGCAAAACCTCTATATACTATGCAATGC